TTTGTGCAGGACCTAACCTCAGACTCACACTTATTACTTGGCAGGCTCTGCTCAGTGCAGTAGAGCCAGTTCAGTGTTGGTCACACTTTTTGGGTGATAACATGAGAAAATGCAGACTTTCTGGGGCTGGAGCAATAGTACAGTAGCTAGAGCGTTTGCTTTGCATGAAGTCAGCTCAAGTTTGATCCCAGCTTCCCATGTGGTCTCTCAAACACTGCCAGGAGCAACCCCTGAGCATTGCTTGGTGTGACCAAAAAGCCAGAAAGAAGAAAGAAAGAAAGAAAGAAAGAAAGAAAGAAAGAAAGAAGGAAGGAAGGAAGGAAGGAAGGAAAGAAAGAAAGAAAGAAAGAAAGAAAGAAAGAAAGAAAGAAAGAGCAGACTTTCTGAAGCCAGTGATCCCAGACTGGTGGCAGTTTGCTTTCCACTGCAGCAATTTAATGCGTTTTAAGAACTCTATATATATGTTCTCTGTACATTCTCTCTATAATACACTATGTAATATAATATATGTGCTGTTATTCTTCAGGAAGATATACATCCTTGCCTATCCTTTAATACACTAATAAACCTTTTTTCTTCTCCCCATACTGGTGGTTGTGGGGACCCACAAGATTTGACCATAAAAAGAAAGTAGGCTGCCCAGCCAGAGGGCTGTGCCATGACCCACAGTTCAAATGGGTGGGTCCACGTTTCCCAGAAGAGAAGACAATGTCATTGGTAATACAAGAAATATGTGGCTGAGTTGCCAGGGCAATTCTCTTGAAATTTAGTGAAATGATGGAAGGGTGTGGTATGGGGCGTGGATGGGAGGTGGGGTGGGAGGGGCACAGGAACATGAAGGTGATCAGAAGCACCAGTTTCCTGCTTGGTCTCTCCTGACCAGCTGGCTCTCAATTATTCTAGAACATGCAGTTGCTGAGGAAATCCTCACCCCTTGAGGAGAACTGTTCTCTCTCTCTCTCTCTCTCTCTCTCTCTCTCTCTCTCTCTCTCTCTTCCAAATATTCCCTCAAAAGCAAAAATGCAAATCCCACATCCGAATGGGGGTGATGTTTTGTGGGGGAGGATTTCCTCAATGTAAGCAAATCCTACATCCGAATGGGGGTGATGTTTTGTGGGGGAGGATTTCCTCAATGTAAGCAATTGGCCCAACCAATCCAAACAAATAAGCCAAGAAAAAAAAAAAGAATTGTCAAGAATCGATTCCTAAAATGCCAGCATGGATCTAGCTTTCTGTTCTCTCCAATTCCATTTCCCGTTCCTCCACCCCTGACTCACACCACATCACTCACAATGACTGCCTGCCACACCTCTGAATCCCCACCTCAGGCCTTTGTGCTTGTTGAGCAGCACTACTGGCCCCTCACTGAGAGACCCACTCACCCCACTCTCTGAGCTCCCACCCTCCCTATTCTCTCTGAGAAATACACACACTTCACTTGCGTGGAGACACCCAACACACCCCAGTTTTGTTCCCCTCAGATCTCTCCTTCAGTGTCTCCCTCTCTTTCCAGTCACACACCCACACGGTCAGCATGAGTAAACATGCCTTCCTGTCTGGGGGCACTCGGAGAACTGTTCCAGCTTCTGGTTCTGTCACGTGGTCACACATTTCTTTTTTTTTTTTTTGTAGGAGTACTGCTATTTATTCAGCCACTGATTCGCTGATTGAATTGTGCATGAACTCCACCTTACTTTTTTTTCATTTTTTACAATTTTATTTATTGAATCACCATGAGAGCAGTTACAAAGCTTTCGGGTCTAAGTCTCGGTCATACAATGAAACACCTGTACCTTCACCAGTGCCCATTCTCCACCACCAAGAACCCCAGTATACCCCCATCCCACACCCTTTCCCTACCTGTGGGGTAGATGATTTCCACATTCCTCTCTCTCTACTTTGATCACATTCAATATTTCGACACCAGACTCACCATTATTATTTGAGATTTTACCCCAACACTCAGATCTGCTGAAAAGGCAACAATAGACAAATTGTTCTATTGCTGGTTATGAATAACATATGATGTCACGTGGCTGCAGTAGGGCCATGTGGTTTTGAAATTCCAAAATTTTAACACTTAAATCTGGAGGGATTTCTGACAAAAGCCACTGGGTTTCGAGATCTGCTCCTGAGTCTCTGGGATCATGGCTGTTGAGCAGCTTGATGAGGAGCCAGAGACGCCATTCGTGGGCAATGACTTGGGGTCTCGTTGGGGTGGAGAGGACAGGCCCGGCTCCACCCCATCCCGTGAGGCCCAAGAAGTTTCGTCACTGCGGGCCCAAGCCTGACTGTCCAGTGGTCTCTGGAGAATGACGGCCACCAAGCCACCAGAAGGAAACAGGTGGAAGGACAGCACCCTTTCCCCCCTGGGGTGGCCCAGCGACAGTAACCTACTGTGGGGTCTGGACACATTTCTGCCAAAAGCCGCTGGGTTTCGAGATTTGTTTCTGAGTCTCTGGGATCAAGGCTGTTGAGCAGCTTGATGAGGAGCCAGAGAGGCCGTTAGTGGGCGATGACTTCGGGTCTCGTTGGGGTGGGGAGGACAGGCCCGGCTCCCGCCCCCCTCCCCCATCCCGTGAGGCCCAACAAGTTTCATCACTGCGGGCCCGAGCCTGACTGTCCAATGGCCTCTGGAGGATGACGGCTACCAAGCCACCAAGAGGGAGCAGGCTGAGGGACAATACCCTTTCCTCCCTGGGGTGGCCCGGCGACAGTAACGTACTGTGGGGTCCGGATGCATTTCTGCCAAAAGCCACTGGGTTTTGAGATTTGTTTGAGTCTCTGGGATCATGGCCGTTTAACAACTTGATCAGGAGCCAGACAGGCCATTCGTGGGTGATGACTTGGGGTCTCGTTGGGGTGGGGAGGACAAGCCCGGCTCCACCCCCATCCCGTGAGGCCCTGGGTCACACATTTCTTTCCTGCCTGGCACTGACATGGGTCAGGAGGCCCCCCCAACTCAGAAATGGTTGCTCTCTTGACCTCTGGGCACTGGTCCTTCACCCAGTCCCATAACAGCTGTTCTGGGGGTGTCGCTCCATAATCAAGCACCTGCTTCCCACAGATGAGGCCTGGTACAACCTCCAAGACCACACACAGGAGACTCTGCTGGACGGGCAATCGCTGTCCACTTGGGGCCCTTGACCCAGGCTCCCAGAGTCCTCCTTTCCCACCTGAAGCACAGCCCTTGTGACACCCGAATAGAATCCTCTGCCCATTGCCCTACTAGCCTAGAATCTCCAGAAAGCAGGGGCCCTCGTATTTTCATTGATTTTGGGTCCATTCAGACTTTAGCAGGGTACCTGGCACAAAATAAGCACTCAACATAAGCAGATGACAAACTGACATTTGTTTTTTCTTTGCGGCGACTGTTTTAGAGAGTCCGTTTTCCTTTGTCAGACCGCATGCTTAACTATTTTACATTTCCCTCATGCTAGCCAGGCCTGGCTCGAAAGGCCTCTGGGGCCATACGTTTGCGCTGATCCCGCGGGAGCGCTCGGGGGGGTGTGAAGGTGCAGCGGGAAAGTCTCCCGGCAGAGGCGGGGGACGAGGTGTGAGCGTGTGCGGGCTGTGACATTTCTGAGAGCACGGAGTGCACTGCGGCCTGGCCGTTGCTTATGAGGCTGAAAAGGGGAACAGGGGCGGAGGGTTTGCCCTGTCTTGTGGGCAGAACCCCCACCCCCAGCTGTTCCTTTTGTGGCGCGTGTGGCCGCAGGGGAGGCTGCCCCAAGAACCCCCAGCTATTTTTAGACAGCAGCCCGCCCATACACTTGATTAATTTTTTTCTAGGGGCCACCCCAGCAGTGCTGGGGCGGGGGTGGAGAGCTAGTCTGTGCTTCAGTTGGAGTTCGTGGCCTCCCCCCTGCTCTCCCTCTCCCCAGCTTCCGGGGGCCCCCAGTTTCTCTGTGAGCTCGCCGCTGCCTACAGGATGGCCTGAGCCCGGCCTGAGGAACTGTGTGGAAGTGAGAAAGAGCAAGACTTGAAATGATGAGGCCGGGATGTGGCTCAGAGGCAGGCTGGAGCCCCGTGGGGATGAAGCTATGGGTTTGTTCCCTGGTGCTCGACTCCCCGCACTCCACCCCACCCCCACCCCCCAAAAAAAACCTTTGAAGTGAGGTCAGTTCTTTCACAGTGGAAAATTGCAAAGCTGCTCTGCCATCCAGCACAATGAGCAGTGCCCTGCCTCAGCCATCGTGTTCAGGGGGTATGCTGTGCAGAAGCAGTGGTGCTCAGAGTGCGGGGCCTGTCCTAGCCGGGTCAGGGCCCCCCAGTCCCGCTCCCCTCCTTTTTTGGAGGGGTATCATGCCTGCAAATACTCAGGGCTTACTCCTGGCTCTGTGCTTGGGATCCCTCCTGGCTTGGGTTCACAGGAGACTGAATGGGATGCCAGAGACCAATGTCAAACAAGTGCCCTACCCACTGTGCTATCTCTCTGGCCCCCTCCAGTTCTATTCTTTCAAGAGATCCCATCCAGGAAATGAAGCTCAGATAGTGCCCAAATCCTAAAGGCAGCCAACCACATCTTCTGCTGGGTACACTCGTGGTCCTTGGGTAATAATTATGTACGAGCTGGTCGGCTCGGCCAAACTGGGTCCAGCCCTGGCAGTTGGTATTTTGTGTTGGAAATGTTGCTGCTTTGGAACAGGAGCAGGAACAGGGATGACTGGAGAAGGGCTCCTCCCTGGAGACCGCCGTCCAGGGCTCACACCCCAAGCTTTGCAGTCTTGAGAGGTACAAGGTGTAGGTCTGGTGGAGCCTCCCAGGTTGAGCTCCAAGTCACCCTGAATAAGCTCCAGTTAACCTCCTGCCCCTCATTTTCTGTCACCGACCAAGTTCTGACACAGGATAGTCTGGGTGAGTGTGTCCAGGGATGTGAGATGGGGCACCGCCCCACTGTGTGTTCACTTAATGCCCAGGTCCTGGCAGTACTGCAATTTGTGTTTCTCTCCATCGGTGGCTTTGTGACATAAATTTAACATTTTGAAATGATACATAGATTTAATTTTCAACCCCCTGGGAGATTTTTTCCATTTGTCAAATCAATTTCACGAGCTCTTATACAATCTTGGGGTGCACACCATCCAATGAGTCATTCCAAGTGTAAACCATCTGTGTTTCCACTATGGTGTTTTAAAAAGGTAAATTTCCAGGGAGCTGGGGAGGGGGGAAATGAGTGAAACTTTTACTGAAAAGGGGGCAGTGGGTCAAATAAATCTGGGCACCTTAGCTCCACAGCAAATATACGTCATTTCCTCTCCTGTAGAGCTCACCAGCCCCAGAAGTAAGGGCTCTGAGAAGGGTCTTCCTCTTTGTAGGGTGCCCCACCTTTGAGGTCATTCTCCTGTAGCAGAAAAGCAGAAAAGGGGACCCGGTCATTTTGGTTGTATATCTGGGTTACCTATAATCCCTTCACTCCCACTGGGACTGTTGTCCTCAGGGACCAAGTGTCTAACTAGAATAAAAGGGGACTCGAGGATTGGGGAGAGCTCAATGGCAAAAGCACCTGCCTTAAAAGTCTGGGCTGGAGAGATAGCACATCGGGTAGGGCGTTTGCCCTGCACGTGGCCAGCCCGGGTTTGATTCCCAGCATCCCATATGGTTCCCCCAAGCACCGCCAGGAGTAATTCCTGAGTGCATGAGCCAGAAGTAACCCCTGTGCATCGCTTGGTGTGACCCCCCCCCCAAAAATCCAACTCTGTGTACAAGCACATGACATGATATGCAGGCTGGAATGGGGGGTGGGGGCAAGGGGTCAAGTAGCAGAGCACAGGAGCAGCAGGTGTGATCCTGATATAGGCCTTTGAGTTTCGTCCCCAGCACCAATGAGTGAACACTAAAGGTAAAGGTAAAGGTAAAGGCCCTCCCGTTGATCGTCGATTTGCTCGAGCGGGCCCAGTAACGTCTCCATTGGAGACTTTGTTGTTACTGTGTCTGGCATGTTGAATACTCTCGGTTGCTTGCCGGGCTCTCCGAGAGGGGCGGAGGAATCGAACTCGGGTCGGCCATGTTGGCCGCTTGTAAGGCGAACGCCCTACCGCTGTGCTATGGCGCAATGGATAGCGCATTGGACTTCTAGAGTGAACACTATTTTTTAAAACTTTTTAAGTGGTTGGCTTGTTCTTTAAGCCCATGTCCTCCCTTACACACATCTCTTGCTTGTCGCTATGTTTCTTTGCTTGATTTTTTCCACTCTGGAAAGCCCATGTTCTCTCTTGAACATATATCTCTTTCTCTCCTTTCCCATATTTCTAAGTAAGTTTCATTCAATAAAGACTGTCTTGATTTACTAAAAAGAAAGAAAAGAAAAGAAAAGAAAAGAAGAAAATAGAATAAAAGTAGGCCAATGGGTAAGGCACTTGGCCTTGCATGCACCATACCTAGGTTTGATTCCCAGAACCCGATAGGGTTTCCCAAGCTCTTCCAGAAGTGATTGGGATTCTCCAGTATGAAGTATGACCACAGAATCAGGAGTAAGCCCTGAACACTGCCAGAAGTTCCCAAAAAAACAAAAAATATTTCTTTAAAAAAGGTGAGGGAAACAGCAGGTTAGTAAGAGGTGTAAGATATTCTGTGCCCACAAGGCCAATGTGCAAAGCAGACCATAAGAATGAGAAGGGGGCCCGAGAGACAGTACTTCAGGTAGGGTGCTTGCCTTGCCTATGGCCAACCCAAGGTTTCATCCCTGGCATCCCATATGGTCCCCTGAGCACCGCCAGGAGTAACCTCTGAGCATCACCGGGTGTGGCCCCAAAACAAAAGAATGAGGAGGATTCAAAAGAACATGGATCACTCCAAGGAAAGAAGACAGGGAAGGACCCTGGAAAGGGCTGGTTCCAGGCAAGGACAAACAAGCAGCTGATCCTTAGTCCAGAAGGAAATGGAGAGGGCATATTCCACCCAAGGCCAGAGGGGCAGGAGCAACGTGTTAGTGTGGGAGAGAAGTGGGCCTGGGCATGACAACATCAAGCCGAGTTCAACCTTGGAGGGGTTCAGTGCTGCCCAAGGAATTCAGACTCTGTCCCACAGTCCAAGGCTGGTCACTAGAGGTTCTGCTATAGGAAGTGACATGATGATGATGTGTTGAAGCACTGTGAAAGATCTAGTTGAAAATTACATCATTAACCCTTTACTACAACTGAACTTTTGTTTGGTTTGGTTTGGTGAGCCATATGCAGTGAGGCTCAGAGCTAGTTGAGACTTAGTACTCCAGGGCTGCTTCTAGAAGTGCTCTCAGAAGACCATGCGGTGCCCCCGGCTCTAGTCTCAGCCTCCGCATGCAAGCCTGTGCTCCAATCCTCTGAGTCATCTCCCTGGCCCACAATTTTGAATATATATTTTTTGGTGCTTTTGTTTGTGTTTTTCTTTTGGGGGCTACACCTGGCTGTGCTCAGGGATCACTCCTGGCTCACCACTTAGACATTACTCCTAGCGGGTTTGGGGGACCATAAGGGGTGCTGGGGATCATACCCCAGTGAGCCACGTATATGGCAAGAAGCACTCTGCCTGCTCCATCACTCTGGCCGCAGAGTGATAGAACTTAAAGTTTTTAGTCACGCGAAAATGTTGTTTCAATTTAAAAACTAATTGTTTTCCGTGGCTGGAGAGATAGTTGAGCAGGTAGGGTGTTTGCCCTTGCACACAGCTCACCTGGGTCCCCTAAGCTTGCCAGGTGTGATCCCTGAGCACAGAGGCAGGAATAAGCCCCTAAGCACTGCCAGGTGTGCCTCCCCCCCACCCCCTAAAAAAAAAAACCACCCGAATTGTTTTAACTATAGAAAACATAAATGTGTGGTTTATGCCCCTACCTCTGAATTTGTTTAAGATCTGAATGGGCGGGCTGGAACACTCAGGTGCTTTCTGAATCTGTCTGAGCCTCGAGTTCCTGAGTGCATGAGGCCGGCCTATCAGAGAGATGGTGAGGATTAAGGAGCATAAAGTCTATCACCCACAGGCCCTGGGGAGAGTCCATAAAAAGCATAAATAACAAACGCAGGAGGCCTGCGCTCACATGAACATAGCGGGCATGAGAGGGGCAGAGCTGGCGATTCCAGGACGGTGCGGGGTTCGCCCTGACACTGTGCCGGATGAGCAGCTCGAGTAGCAAAGCGAGTTATCCACTCTCCCAGCAAGTGCTCAAGCCAACTTTTCTAGAATCTGAGGATTCCTCAGAGTACTGCTATTCCTCAGCTGACCTGCAGGTGTCGCCGCAGACAACGCGATCCAGACTTCTCTTGGTGTCCAGACTCGGACAAAGGTCAACGAGAAGAAAGTGCGCGGTGGCCCCCAGCCGGACTCCTTGCTTTGCTCAGCCCGTGGGCGACTCTGTCCCCAGGGAATGGCCCTCTTCTCTTTCCCTGCCTGCCCTGGGGCTCTGGCCGCCTGGAAGCGAACCTCCACTCTTCCATGCTGCAGAGCCGTGGTCGTGGGTCAACTCCAGCTGCTCTTCCTGGCACTCTCCAGCACCCTGGGGTTTCTGCATGGTGGAGCATGATGAGTCGGGTGCTGCTACCCCACCCACATCCCTCCCCCTCCCCGGCCTCCTGGTTTCAGCCCATGATCTTAGCGGGGCTCCCCTGCCCTCTCACATGCCTCTAAATTCTCTGCTAAATTGACCCAATTTTCAAGTAGCAGCAACCAAAGATGTGGGGTGTTCACCTACCTCTCCTTTAGGAAGTATCCGTGTTCTGTTGCTAACCTTGTGGCCTCGACGCAGCCCTAGGGGATGGGAAATGATGTGTATTCCTGAGTCAGGCTCTGACTTTTCCACAGGGAGCCCGTCACAGTCATGGGACCAGACTCTGACCTGGTAACAAAGGGAAAATGTTCCAGATTAGTTTTCCCTTCCGCCTGCTGGTGGCCTCTGTCACACACACACACACACACACACACACACACACACACACACACACACACGGTATTTTTAAAGCTGAGCTGCGCATGGGGGTCACACATTCGGGTGTGGTGCTCGCACATTACGCCCAGTGTTCACCGAGGTTTGCAGTCTTGGTTGAGACATTTACATGGTGCTCTCAGGGGCTGGCACTTCCCGGCCATGGCGCTCACACATCTCTTTGGTTGTGGCTGCACCCCTTTTTGTGGTTCTTATTCTGGCTTTGGTGCAGCTGGGAAGCTGCTGGCAGCATGGGGATGGCAGATGGCAGAGTTACCAGGATGGTGCGTGGTGCGTGTGGTGCTAATAACCATGTGCTTGCACAGAAGGTGCTATGAGCCGTTGCGCGAGTTCTCTGAGCTTCTGTCTCCCTTCCTATGGGCTTGAATTTGCTCTCAATATTTTAAAAATCAGAGCGGCAGACTGGGGGAGAAGGTAGTGGCAAGAGGGAAACTGGGGACATTGGTGGTGGGAAATGTACACTGGTGAAGGGATGGGTATTGGAACATTGTATGACTGAAACTCAATCATGAACAATTTTGTGACTGTGTATCTCATGGTGATACAATAAAAAGAAATAAATCATCAAAAGAATAACTGTTGGAATAAATTCTCCTGTAGGGATTCTTCCCCTGAACAGCCTCAGGGATACTTTCCAGTTTCTAATACAGATCCAGGTAATCTGGGGCTTGACTCCAGAGAACAGAAATTCTGAAAGGGAGAGTTGGAGCCATACAATCTTAATGACCATTAGAAAAAGTGAGGATCAGCTACATCCCTGAACGTTTATATTCAGAAGCAAATTTGCAGCTCTCATTCTTTTTACCTTTACACATAAATCATTACCAAGACCTTATATTGGGCTTTTTAAGCTTGTTCCACTTTGACCCCCTTTCAAGGGCCAATCGTTCTTGGGCCAATCTATCTGGGGCCAATCTATGTGGAGTCAATCACTTGAGAAATTATTATGTGACATGAGTATGTATACTTAAATAAAATAAGTATAAAAATCAAAATTTCACTGGAAGAAGTTATAAAGAGTTTTAATTTAAAGCTTTTTTTTTTTTTGAGTTGCACAGTCCTAGGGAGCTGGAGTTGCACAGCAGGTAGGGAGATTGCCTTGCACACCACAAACCTGGGTTAGATCCCTGGCACCCCATATGGTCCTCTGAATCCCACCATGAGTGATCTCTGAGCACAGAGTCAGGAGAAAGCCCTGAGCACTGCTGGGTGTAGCCCCAAACAAAACAAAACAAAACAAAACAAAACAAAAGAATGTTACACAGGTCTGACCCCAGTTTAAGAAACTTCACCTTAGACCATAGAGAGAAAATTAATACCCACATCCCCATTCAAATTCCAGTGGTGCCTTTAGCCTCTGGATGTCACGAAGGATCAGGATAATGGTGCCCAAGAACAGGGGCTCCCTGCCATTTGTCCCCTATGCCAATGAGTACCTTCTTTTGTGTGAAACTTGTCCTCATGCCCCAAAAAAACCCAGAATGAATTTACACTCAGGGCAAAACAGCAAATAAACTGGCGTGAGGAGGAGGCCACGGGCCTCTCAGCAGGGCCTCGGTTCCAATCAGGCTATTTCTCTCTGAATCCCAACGAAGACAGCGGCGTCCCACAAGCCGTAGGTCTCTCCTGGTTACAAGCAACAAACAATGAAAAGACAGAGCCAAAAGCTTGGCCTTGTGACACATGCGGGCACCTCCTTCCCTGGCAGCAGGTTACCTAAGATATGCATAAGGCAGCACAGCCAAAGGCACCTGGACGGGGCCCAGCAGCACAGGGACGTCCAAAGAACTGTTTACTGGAAGAATCAGAGTTTCAGGGCTCGAGAGAGATTAAGGTGCTTGCCATGAATATGCCCGCCCCTGAGTCAATCCCCATTACCCCATATGGTACCCTGGGTACCACCAGGGGTGGCCCCTGAGCACAGAGCCAGGAATATGCCCTGAGCACAGCCAGGTGTGGCAGGCAGGAAGGAAGGAAGGAAGGAAGGAAGGAAGGAAGGAAGGAAGGAAGGGAGGGAGGGAGGGAGGGAGGGAGGGAGGGAGGGAGGGAGGGAGGGGAAGGGAGGGAGGGAGGGAGGGAGGGAGGGAGGGAGGGAGAGAGGGAGGGAGGGAGGGGAAGGGAGGGAGGGAGGGAGGGAGGGAGGGGAAGGGAGGGAGGGAGGGAGGGAGGGGAAGGGAGGGAGGGAGGGAGGGGAAGGGAGGGAGGGAGAGAGGGAGGGAAGGGAAGGGAGGGAGAGAGGGAGCGAGGGAGGGAAGTATGGAGAAGGGAGGGATGGAGGGAGGGAGGGAAGGTGGGAGGGAGGGTGCGAGGGAGGGAGGAAAGAAGGATTCAAGTTTTTAAAAATCTAGTCTTTGTAAGAAAAATCCGAACTTGGTTGAACGTGTAAACCCTTATTTTCTAGCACAGGGTTTAAAAGATCTTGGGGGGGAGGGCTAGAAAGATAGCAGAGCGGGTAGGGTGTTTACCTTGCATGCAGCCGACCCAGGTTCTATTCCCAGCATCCCATATGGTCCCCTGAGCACCACCAGGAGTAATTCCTGAGTGCATGAGCCAGGAGTAACCCCGTGTGCAGCACTGGGTGTGGCCCAGAAAGCAAAAACAAAGATCTTTGGACAAGGGAAAACTCTTGTTCCAGAGCTTAGGTCTCTGAGTCCAACTCTGCCTGCAAGGGGCTGCCCTGTCCTGCTGACCGGATACTGCACCACAGCACCAAGATACCACTGGCTAGAGGAGAACAATTTTTTATTTCACTGGCTACAGCAAGTAGCACAGGACATGCTGTGTAAGATAGTGGGCTGGAGCGATAGCACAGCGGGTAGGGCGTTTGCCTTACAAGCGGCCAACATGGCCGACCCGAGTTCGATTCCTCCGCCCCTCCCGGAGAGCCCGGCAAGCTACCGAGAGTATTCGATATGCCAGACACAGTAACAACAAAGTCTCCAATGGAGACGTTACTGGGCCCGCTCGAGCAAATCGACAGTAAGATAGTAAGAAAGAAAAAATGTTCGTCCACCTGGGTGAACCTACACAAATCCCCAAGCTGCTGTACCCAGATGCATCGGTCAGACATGCTGCTCTGTCCATGCTGTACTTCACTCCAGAGAATGCACCAGTGTCAGAGGGGCATAGTCCTGAAACACCCTGACATTTCCCAGCTACAGCCTGAGCTAAAATGCTTTATGGTTTCTACATTCATTCTTGGAGAGGGAGGGGAGGTTGTTGAGGAAGAAAGTGTAGTCTGCAGTGCTCAGGGCTTCCTCCTGGCTCTGTACTCAAGGGCCAATCCTGGCAGTGCTGCAGGCAGTGCTGCAATTATGTGGTGTTGGGAACTGGACTCAGGTCAGCTCCATGCAAGGCAAGCGTACCTACATACTGTATTCTCTCTGGCCCAACACATGCATTCTTTTGCATTCAAAAGTCAAAAAGGTAAATGATTTTTAAAATTAGTTATCTCATAATATGAGACTGATACCCAAGGACATGAGAGAGAAGGGCCAGGAATAATGCTCCATAGTTGAAAGCCTGCCTCATGAGCTGGGGGAGAAGGCAGCTGGAATAGAGAAGGGATCACTAAGTCAATGATGGTTGGAGGGATAGTTCCAGATGGGAGATGTGTGCTGAAAGTAGATAAAGGACCAAATAATAATAGCCTCTCAGTATCTGTATTGCAAACCATAATGCCCAAAAGTAGAGAGAGAGTATGGGAGAAATTGTCTGCCATAGAGGCAGGGCAGGGGTGGGGTGGGGGGCGGGGGATACAAGGGACATTGGTGGTGGGAAATGTGCACTGGTAGAGGAAAGGGTGTTCAATCATTGTATGACTGAAACAAACATGAAAGTTTTGTAAACGTATCTCATGGTGATTCAATTTATTTAAAAAAGGAGTTGTCTAGGATTTTAACATCTTTGAATCTATTTGAATGCTCGAAGCTTAGCATGGACATCTCAAACTGAAATGTTGAGAATGAGGTACAGTGGGGGGCAGGTGGTGAGAATCTAAGTGCTGAGAATCCATGAAAGTCTTTCTAAAGTTTTCTTCTGCACCATCTGTTCACATTTTCTGGTTTCCAGGTGCGTTCTGAGCCGGAGTTGTTTGAAGCTATATAGAGCTATACACTATAGACTGAAAAACCTGTTGGATCACTTTATTCAAAACAGTCTCCCAGGTTGCAGAAAAACAAAAGTGACCTCCTGGGAATCCCCACCTTAGAACAGGTCATCAAGGTCCAGCAGGTCCTCAAACTACTGAAAGCACGTGATCAATCCCAGCTGGCCTGGCCAATCTTTTGCCACTAGGTGTCACACTTAACAATCAGAAACACAGAATCTGGGTGCTGAAGACCATAAACATAAAACCAAGAAAGAGTTGCAAGAAATAGTGCTGGGATTCCTTTTACACATGCAAGACTTTCTTTTTAAATAAATAACAATTTAAATTTTATTAGTAGTATTATTACTGTTCTTTAGGGCCACACCTGGCAGTGTTTAGGAATCCCTTATGCAGTATCAGGGATCAGGGTCAGCCACCAGAGCAAATGCCTTAATTGTTTCTTCAGCCTTTAATGATCATTTAAAAACCTTCAGATAAAAAAATCCTCTCCTAGAATATCCATTATAAGGGGCTCATGTAGAGTTTAACATTTCTGTGTATTTTTTTTAGACACGGATATGGTGAAATAGAAGGTAGAAGCTTTCCTAACAAGTGAAATGTGAGCATCTTGTATTACCTGAGTATCTTATAACAAGTGATTTTGAGCATCTTCCAGATTTCAGTGTAGTTGGTCTCAAGTGATTTTGAGCATCTTCCAGATTTCAGTGTAGTTGGTCTCATTTTCAAAGTGTGTTTTCAAAAGTGTTCAGACTGAATGCTTTGGTGAAATGATGGCTATGGTTGAGATGGAAATAACATAAGCTTCTCTAGGTTGCCTAGGTAAATTTCTGCTGCATTTCAGCTATCTTTTTAGGAAAGTTGGAACAATACTTATCTTACGCGATTAATTCTGAGAACTATAGTGTCTCATAAAGTACTGGAGTCCTTCCAGACACTTATGCTGTGATATTTCCAAGAGCCAGAGTCACCCTTAAGCAGTTAGAAATGGGTTTGTTGCCAAGCGATAATATTTTTAAGCTGGAAAAATACTTAAAACAGCATTAAGTCTGATGTTATTACAAGCACAGTTATTCACAGCTGTGAGCTGATGTCTCTGATATGCTGTTCCCTATGGGTAGAGCCTAGAATTGAGGCTTCCTCCTTAGAGTTACTATTCCACCTTGTCCCAGTAACTGTGTAATTGGTATATCATAAGCTACAGAGGTGACAAGTGACAAATTTTTATTTTAATATGTGATCATTACAACTGGAGTGGGGGGCAGGTGGTGAGAATGTTAAGTGCTGAAAATCCATAAAAGTCTTTCTAAAGTTTTCTTCTGCACCGTCTGCTCACATTTTCTGGTTTCCAGGTATGTTCTGCACTGGAGTTGTTTGAAGCCATATAGAGCTATACATGATAGAGTGAACCCCCACCCCACTCCAATTGTGTCTCATTGCCCCTTGACCCTGATTCCTAACATTCAGATATTAATGTCTGATTAATGTCTGTCAGTCTCAGGAATAGGTGAGAGGTGAGAGGAAAAGGACTAGTTAGTAAGTCAAGATAAAGAGGGTTGAAGAATCAGCAGAGATCTCTTGCAAGTTCATACAGACCTCCTGACCTTAATTCTGAATAACTGAGGCTGCTTCCTGCTACTTGGACCAATTCTAGGAGTAGATGAAATCAGCCTTCTGACATGAAGGTGGGGGATGGGGAGTATGATTTCTAGTTGTGCAGGTGCAGACCCCTGTTGAGGAACCTGCAATGCCTGATGCCTCTGCAGGGGCAGGGGCAGCCGCTGCCCCCTCTTAGCATCAGGGGTTCAGCAGAGGCTGGATGGACCTTGCAGACGCTGCCCTGAGCCCGCAGAATGCCTCAGTGTAACTTTCTTATGCCATCCTTGATGTCCCATATTGGGTAAGGCGCACCTCAACCCATTCTCAGTCTCCTGTGCCAAATGCTCCTGGAAAGTTGCCCAGCTGTGCTTCCAGATGCACACTCAGGATCTAGTTTCTTGCAGCAGCACCATGCAAAACCATCAGGGTCTCAGGGATGATTTCATTATTGCACAGCATCAACCAGCTCTACTGAAAAGCAACATGCTTTCCTTAAAAAAAAAAAAATAACAAAAACTCACCATGCTGGTTACAAAATCATAAACAGCACTTTTTCCACATTCAAGGTAGAGTGCCTCCCCCGGCCTCACAGTCAGAATTATTAATCCCGAGGAAATGATTTGAGGGTTATCCAAGCCTATAGGCGGTTAACGACAAAACTTTCATCACTTCCACTTCAAGGGTTTTTTTTTGGGGGGGGGGGGGAACGCTAGTTGCCCCTGCAGGGTGAAGAACCAGGAGGCAGAGACGCAAAAGGCAGCCTGCGAGCTTCTCACCACACCGCGTCCTTCCTCGCAGTTTGGGGAAGCGAATCCCCGCAACAACCATCATTTCCACTCGGATTTTCAAAAGACCCAAGAAAACCCGGAAAGGATCGGGCTGGTTAGCAAATCCCCGATGAAAAGCAGCAGGGCTTGCATCCTTGAACTCTCAGCCACCGAAGGCCCCCCCGCCCCCCCCCCAATCAATTCGGCTATAGGAAACCCCGGGGAATGGAGTGGGGTTTGCAAAGGGTCGGGATTACCGGGTGCAGGCTGCAGGGAAGTACCGGGAGGGGGCTGGCCCGGAGGACTTTCCAGCCACTCAGCGCTCATCAAAAAGTTCCCTGTGCATGACCCCAGTGGCTCATCGCAGGGAGTTTCTCCACTGAACCCCAGCTCCGAGTTTAGGCTGCTTTTCCCCCCTTAGCTGAGAGCGAAGCCAGTTCTCTTTTTCTGGTCTGACTTGTTTGGAAATTCCCTAGCTTGACCCCGCCCCGGAGAAATCCCCTGCCAGCGTTTATAGGGCGCTGCGCGGCGCTGCCGAGGCCCACAGTGCAAGCCTCCAGCCGCGCCACCCGCCGGAGACGCAGTGAGCGCGCAGCAGCCCCGGACGCAGCCACCCCGAGCGCGCAGCCTCCCCGAGCGCGCAGCCCGCCCGGGAGCTCGGGAGCCCGCGAGCACCGCGCACCGAGCACCGAGCACCGAGCACGCCGCCAGCGGCCGAGCGCAGCCCGAGCCCGAGTCCCGCCATGTTTCAGTTCTTCGCGTCAGCCCCGGAGCGGGCCCCGGACGGCCCCCGGGACGCGCTGAAGAAGGAGCGGCTGCTCGAGGACCGCCACGACAGCGGCCTGGACTCCATGAAAGACGAGGAGTACGAGCAGATGGTGAAGGAGCTGCAGGAGATCCGCCTGGAGACGCAGGCGGCGCCCAGCGTTGCCGAGCCCTGGAAGCAGCAGCTCACCGAGGACGGAGACTCGTAAGTGTGGCATCCCCTCCAATCCCCCGGAGGTGGGAGGAAGAGTGGGGGAGGGGGAGGGGGAGACTGGGTGCACAGGGTCTGCACCTGGGTCTGCAATGGGTACTGCAGGGCCCGCGAGGTTGCAGGGCCTTGCATTCTTGGGCCCATGCATCTACCACCCCGCGCCCCCGAGCCGGTGGTGCAACGCCACTTGGCTGCGTAGCCCCCTCCCCAGCCCCGCAGCTCAGCTTTGCAGCGGCGCATTGCACACACACCCCCACCCCCCATCTCCAGTGCAGATCCTCCGGGTCGGGGGGGCGGGGCGGTGGCAGGGACGCGAAGTCCCAGCTTGCACAAGGGGGGGGGCGGGAGTTTCTGCCCCGCTGGCAGGCGCCCTGCGGCCGGGAGGGGAAGTACAGGGCGTTCCGGCCGGCGGGAGGGCGGGGCGGTCTGGCCGGCGCCCGGGGAAGGGGGGGGTTGGGGGAGGGCGGAAAGTCCCTGGGCGCCTGCCAGGAACACTCAGCTCATAATAACCTCGCGGAAAACACCGAGGCCGAGGCCTCCAGAAACCCCGACCTTGCGCAATCCCCAGCAGCCCGCGCCTCCCTGGGCCCCACGCCGTGCACTCACCAGCCCTGGGGTTTTTCCCTCCGCCCCGCAGGTTCCTGCACTTGGCCATCATCCACGAAGAGAAGGCGCTGACCATGGAAGTGGTCCGCAGGGTGAAAGGAGACCTGGCCTTCGTCAACTTCCAGAACAACCTGCAGCAGGTGCGCGTCTGGCCCCTGCGCCCGACCCTCCACCTCAGAAGTCAGCCCAGCGCCCCCCACTCCCAACCCTCTCTTAAGTGCACAGCCAATGGGCATGGCTAGTGCCCCCACCCCACCCTTACACTGGGATCCACCAGCAGTCAAAGGGCTAGCCTCGCTGGTTCCGTGCGTGAGACCTCTGTAGTCTAGCTGGGACACTAGTATTTGCCCCCTCCTTACAGTCCTCTGGGAGGACCCCACCTACACCCACACCCAGAGGAGGTCGGGGTGGGAGGTTCCTGGGCCTGGAGTGAGGGTTGGAGCCTTCGTTTATCGTCCTTCTCTCCCCTCCTGTTTGTAGACTCCACTACACTTGGCTGTGATCACCAACCAGCCAGAAATTGCTGAGGCGCTTCTGGAAGCTGGCTCTGATCCGGAGCTCCGAGACTTTCGAGGAAATACCCCCCTACACCTGGCCTGTGAGCAGGGCTGCCTGGCCAGCGTGGGCGTCCTGATTCAGAGGTGTGGGACCCAGCGCCGAGATTCCATCCTGAAGGCCACCAACTACAACGGTGAGTGTCTGCAGGGTTAGAGATGGGCGGGATGGGCAGACTTAAGTAGCACAGGCAAGGGCTGACATTCAGCCTGTGCATGGCAGAGGTCTAAGAGGCCTCACTAATGCCTGCCACTGAGCTAGGTAACCAGGAACCAGCATTCTGGGTTCTTCCAAGGCAGAAGAATTGGCAGATTAAAAAGAATAGTTAGGGGAGGACTGAAGCAAGTAATCACACTTCTGCTCCTGTTTCTAGGTCACACGTGTTTGCACTTAGCCTCTATCCACGGCTACCTGGCCATTGTGGAGTGTTTGGTGCTCTTCGGTGCTGATATCGATGCACAGGTGAGTTGAGGTGCAGAGGTGTGCCTGATTCTTCCACAGCAAAAGTCACATGTCTTATTTGGAGTGGAAATTCCAGGCCTGACCATCTCAAATTCCTTTCACTATCAGGAGCCCTGCAATGGCCGGACTGCCCTGCACCTGGCGGTGGACCTGCAGAATCCTGACCTGGTGGCCCTCCTGTTGAAGTGTGGGGCTGATGTCAACAAGGTCACCTATCAAGGCTACTCCCCGTACCAGCTCACCTGGGGCCGCCCCAGCACAGAGATCCAGGAACAGCTGGGCCAGCTCACGCAAAAAAATCTGCAGATGCTGCCAGAGAGCGAGGATGAGGACGAGGAAAGCTCTGACACAGAGTCCGAGTCCACGGAGGAGGATGAGGTGAGTGTCCACCGGTTCCTCACACTCCACGTGCGGGCCATCTCTCCCTCCTCCCCTCCCAGGCTCTCAGGGTTTCAGCAGACTTTGTGCAACGATAGGCCAGAGCTTGGCTCCTTTTCTTCCCCAGTCTCCAACCCTTTTTAAAGATGAAACACATTAAAGGCATGAAAGGCGAAACTTGCCCGTGAAGTTAATTTATATTTGGGTGATGGGATATGGAATTTCAGAAGGCTTGATTTATTTTCCTCGCTGGCCATCATGCCAGCACCTTAGCAAAATCTCTGGAAGGGGACTTGGAGAGATAGGAAAGGGATTAAAGCGCTTGCTTGCCTTGCATATAACCAACCCCAGTTTCAATCCTTGATACTGTTTGTCCCCCAGCACTGCCAGGATTGACCCCCCCCCCCAAGTGCAGAGCCAGGAATAGCCCCTAAGCACTGCTGGGTGTGTCCCCAAACCCCCCACCCCCAATCGCCCCCCTCAAAAAAAAAACCTATCAGAAGTTTAATGTGTCTTTTCTCCTCTGTTTTTAGCTGCCCTATGATGACTGTGTCCTTGGAGGCCAGCGCCTGACATTATAAGCTTCAGAAAGTGGCTGAAAGAACATGGACTTTGTATATTTGTAAAAAAAAAAAAAAACAAAGTTTTATTTTTTTAAGGAAAAAAAAAAGGAAAAAAAAATATCAGGGTGCACTTAAACCACACTCCACACTGTCGGACCCAGAATACTTTTCTGTGCTGGATTGGCCCTCATTTTGTTATTTTTGTGAACTTTGGAATGGGGGCAAGAAAGATCACTAGAGTTCAAAGAACCTTTTAAACCTTACTTCTGTGGGGATTTAGAGAAAAGCCATCCAACATTTAATGGAAGGATTAACTTATTGTGCTTATTGTTGGAACCACCATGAAATTTGTGACTGCGTCCACTTGAACCCCGTGATTTGTATCCATCTGGTGTGTTGTTAAAACACTTTTCAGTGTTGTGGAGCTAAGAAGTCATATATTTATGTGACCCTCCTGTAAATGGTGTACATAGTGTATTTTGTTGGTAATTATTTTGGTACTTTTAAGATGTATATTTATTAAACAAATTTTTATGAACAGAATTTGTCTGGTCTGTTTCCTCCAGGCTGGTGTGGGGCTAGTGAGAGTCATCCCGTCCTCAGGTAGATGGGGAGAGACCTTGACCACACTTTGCCTAGGCAAATGTGGGAGCACTTTGCACAACTGACCACAGAACTCCAGACAGCAGCTTCTCACTGGGTAACTGCTAACCCAGCTTTGCAAGCTCCCCCGCCCCATTCAGGGCGGGGGGGGGGGGGGGCTAGGCTGTTGGCAGGAGGATAGGAAACACCCATCAGAGTTGGGATGGCAGTAAGCTGATTGGGTGTTGCTGGAAGTTTCCCTCTTGTCATTTCCTTCCATTCCCTTGGGTTCAGCTCTTCAGAACCTTTATTCCACGTTGAGGAAATTATCCTGGCCAAGAACAGTGTGGCTTGACTGCATGCCCTGGAGTGGGGGGCAGATCTCACCAGAATACTGGGAGACCACTAAGGACACGGGATCAGGCATGGGACTGCCATAGTATGATTGCACTGAGATTTGTCAACCAGTGATCACCTCTGAGCCTTTGCTCATTTATAAACTGGGCCATGGTAGAGGTTACACAAGACAGTGCACGTAAAGAAATAAGAGTGCCAGGTAATGTGCTAAAAAATATCCTGTATTTGAACTAGAAGGAACAAAGCAGAGCACATATCAGGGTCACAGTGCAGGCAGGGGGTGAGCTCTTTGAATAAGCTTTTAAAAGTTTAGCTTTTCTTTTTCTCTGTCTCTCTCTCTCTCTTTTTTTTTTTTTTTTGTTTTTGTTTTTGGATCACAACCCACAGTGCTCAGCAGTTACTCCTGGCTATGTGCTAAAGGGTCACTCCTGGCTGTGCTCAGGGGACCAAATGAGATGCCAGAGATTGAACCCTGGTTGGCTACATTCAAGACCTACCTGAGTACTATTGCTCTGGCCCCCAGTAGATGTGCTTTTTACATGATTTCCACCTTGAGGCCTATTTTGCTCTCAGCTGTGGTATAAAAAGCTTGAAGTCTTTGTGTGTTTAATTGACTAACTCTACTGATTAATTCTACAGATGCAAACTATTTCACAAGAAATCACTAATTTGTGAAATCACTAATTTGTGAGATCTGGCCTTAGGTTCTTTATATGTATTCGTGTTTTCATCCATAAAATGATACCTCTTGGGTTGGAGCAGAGTACAGTCAGTAGGTGCTTGCATGTGGCTGGCCCAACTTCAGGTCTGCATATGGTCCCCTGAGCCCTGCCAGGAGTGATCCCTGAGCACAGCCAGGTGTAGCCCAAAATTTAAAAAATTAACAGTCAAAATGTAAATGGCATTATTTTGGATAGGGAGAAAGCAAAATTTCCATAAAATATGGATGCATATAAATAGTCACATGCTATATATTAGTGTGTAATTTTTTTTTTTTGCGCTCAGGAATCACTCCTGGCGGTGCTCAGGGGACCCTATGGGATGCTGGGCATTGAACCCAGGTGGTATGCAAGACAAACGCCCTACCCATTATACTATCACTCTGCCCCCTAAATTTCTACGTATCTATAACTTGATGTACTTTGGCTTACACCAAAGACAGCATTATCATTAATATCATTAATTCAATAATGTTAAAGTTGGGTCAGTAGGATCACCTTTCTCAGACAAAATATAAGCCTATATTGAGGGATTCTAGACCTCTAGAACTCCCTAAACTGGACTGGACCCCTCAGTCATCTGCTGCTGAGCGCTGTGGTGACTTTTCTTCCAGCCTTGTCTTCTCAAAACACCCCAGACCCAATATCCAAATTCCTTTATCCCAGAGCACCTCTCATGCCTGCATCTTTGTTAGACTCCGCTCTCAGCTGACAAGTGGAAAGGGTGAAAAGTGTAGGGAGCAGGGGTGGGATGTACGTCCTAGCCCAGAGAACAGAAGCTCACCTCCCAGTTTGGATGGACGTTACGCCTAGTGCTTCTCAGTCTTTTTGTTTCTCCATACCTGTGGGTAGTATGCGAAGAGGCCCAGGCACTCACCCCAGCTCTAAGAAATGGAACAGAGATGTGGCCCTACTTCCTCTGCCTCCGGGGCCATTAGAAAAGGGATGGAGATTCATGTTCAGGGTGGTAATGGAGAGGGACCTCTTCTCCCCCTTCCTAGGCTCGCCCCCCCACCCCACCCCCGTGTTCCTAGCTATTCTTCTCTTCAGGACTCTAATGCCCAGCCTGGATTCTTTCCTCTACATAAATTCCTTTATCCAGGAGCAGCTAGAGCCCAAATTAAGGAATGAAGTCACCTCAAATCTTTTTTTTTTTTTTTTTTGGTGGGGAGAGGGCTGGGTTTTTTTTTTTATTATTGTTTTGATCACATCAGTCATACTCAGGAATTGTTTCTGAGGTGCCAGGATTGAACCCCAGTCAGCTGCATCCAGGCAAGCACATTACCTGTTGTACTATTTCTCACAGCCCCACATTTCTAGTCTCTGATTTTTTTTTTTTTTTGCTTTCCTTTGGGTCACACTCTGCAATGCTCAGGGGTTATACCTGGCTCTGCACTCAGGCAGTTCTCGGGGGACCATATGGGATTCCAGGAATAGAGCCCAGGTCTAGAGGTCTAGCCACTGTACTATCACTCTGGCCCTCTCTGGTTCTTCTTCCTATTTATACACCTCCATTTTTTCTTTTCTGTTTTATTTTACCAGCCTTTATTCACATCTATTTAATGTCTGGACCCTTGAAAAATTTTAGAACCGAGACATTCTAATTTGTAGAGACTTCCTTCCATTTCAAAGCAAACAAGGACAAAGGTTTCCCGTGAAAACAGAGCCTCCCATACACTTAAATTTTCTCTTAGAAAGAAAGGGTCCAACCAGGACAGGTAGAAGTAGGAGAGCCTTGGAAAAGAGGGAAGTGGCTCAAAGGGAAATAAAAAGTCAATCTGCAACTTCCTTGAATGTAGTTCCTTGATTCCTTCAGTCTGCCTCATCTTTAGGACAAATTCCCAGTGTTGGGTGGGGGTGATGATCATACCCACAGTGCTCAGGGACTACCCCCAGCTCCACACTGAGGGTTTGGGGCCGCTCCCTTGCAGTGCACAGGGAGCCATGCATTACATTGCATCCAAGTCCTCCCCGCCCCCCCCCCCACTTTGAGTTATCTCCCCAACTCCAGGATAAATTCCTCTCTAGGTCACCAGAACCAAGTCCCTTTCAGAAAGAAGGTTTTTTTCTTTAAAGAGGGAACCAATACTAATCTGAGAGATCTGAAGACCTTCATCTGCGGCCTGGAAATGCCGAAGGCTGGGTGCTGAGAGATGTTTGAAATACAACTTCAGTTGCCACTGGCAATGATGAAGTGGTGACATTAGTGAGTCAGTGAGCCAGGTTCTTCCTCACCCCCTTTCCCCTGGATTCTCACTGGCTGGCCTTCTATGTGGTTGAAAAGGTAAGGGTAGAACTGTGCAATACATATGCCCAAGAAGCACAGGCTCTGGTCCTGGATGAGAGTATCCCAGGCTGTTTTCCCATTTTAAGGAAGCATTCCAAAAATGAACCCCAGTCTCCCACGTGCTTCCTCCCTGAAGAAGTGGGGCTCCCAGTCAAGCCATTCCTTCCCTCTGATAATACACTTAATCTCCAGGACCTATGCCAAGGGTGGAAACGGAGAGGAACCAGCTTTGGCCTCGCCTTCCTCTTGGCTTAGCTGAGACGAGGCAAACCAGCAGGATAGAACAGCCGGGGCTGGGAGATAAAAGGCCAAGCAGCACGGTGAGGCCCCTGAGGCATCACGAAGCTGGGAGGAGGCTCTTATTTGTCTACCAAGCCTGCACCATTCCCCTTTCCCGTGTCCTGAGTGACCAGTGACAAGGAAAAAAAAAAAACTGTGCTCATTGCAAAACTAATTTCTGGGCTGGGATTAACTGGATCATTCACCACTGAGGATGCTCCCACACTGCCAGAACTCAGCCTGAAGCAAGGTACCACCCACCAGTTTTGGGATTAACGATACAGGAGGCGCATGCTGTGGGCCAAAGCTCTGCAGACTCAATGTGCACCTCGCATGGGTTTGGAGATGATGTTGAAGTGCAGGTTCTAATTCACTTGGTACAGCACTGACAAGAACCTTGTCTCTTTCCATCAAGTTCCCAGGTAAGCCTTGGATTGAGGGGTCACATTTCAAAGCGTATTTTGAATCAGCACTCATGGTTATCCTCTATTGAGCACTACCAAGGAGACAAGAGCTTCTGTAGCCAATCATGGAATAATCCAGGAGAAAATAATGTGAATCTTTCGAAAAACTGGGCTTGATCCTGAGTCCCGACACTAAAATAGGGCCCAAGTCCCATAAATCTGCCTTCAAACCAGTTAAGGTGGAAGCTGATCTATGCCCAAAGGTGCCACATTATCTGAAGTCCTAGAAAAAAACCCGAAGCACAAATAAAATTAAGGGTGGGAGATATAGTGCAGAAGGTAAAGCGTTTGCCTTGCACGCTACCAACCCTGGCACCACATTGCTGCCCTGAGCACTGCCAGGAGAGATCTCTGAGCACAGAGTCAGATTAAGCTCTGAGCACTGCTGTTTGTAGCCCAAGCCCCTATCCCTCAGATAAATAAATAGTCTTTCCTTTTATTTTCCATCTTGATAATTAAGATTTGCTCGAGCGGGCCCAGTAATGTCTCCATTGGAGACTTTGTTGTTACTGTGTCTGGCATATCGAATACATCGTGGGGAGCTTGCCAGGCTCTGCCGTGCGGGCGAGATACTCTCGGTAGCTTGCCGGGCTCTCCGAGAGGGGTGGCGGATTCGAACTCGGGTCGGCCATGTTGGCCGCTTGTAAGGCAAACGCCCTACTTAAAATGAACTTGTTTAGGGGCCCAGAGCAATAGTACATTGGATAAGGTGCTTATCCAGAGTTTTTCCCCTGATACCCCATATGGTCCCTTGAACCCTACTAGGAGGAATCCCTGAGCACAGAGCCAGGAGTAATCCCTGAGTACTAACAGGTTTGACATCCCCCACAAAAAAAAAAAAAAAAGCTTTTTGTT